AGCACACACATCTTAGGACAAAAACCTCTCAAGAAAAAAAAAGAAAAGAAAATTTGCAAAAGTGATTTAGACTCATAGGTTATGAAATATGCCAAAATACATTCCAGATGTATTAAATAAATATATTTTAAGTCAAAAACAAATAGAGGTTTTTGTTTTGTTTTTGGAGAGATTTTCACTATAGGGCGTGTGCGCTCTCCAGACAGACAGAGAGAGACATAGAGACAGAAAGCGAGAAATCACCTCCCAGGGGGGATGATCACGCTGCAATCCCTTCTCCTCCATTCTCCTCTCGGGATCATGGGCACGCAGGCATACGCACCCATTGTGAGTTTTAAGCCACCGCGTCTGGGACGCGAACCGCGACTACATGGGAGTCCAGCAACATAGCCATTACGCTAACTGCTGATTCCCAGGTATTTTTTAAATCAAATAAATGTTTTTAAATCAAATTATGAATCAAAATTCAAAAATATTCAAAATCAAGGTTATATATTTTTAAAATACTGGATAGATTCATTATCTGAGCTTTGAATGAATTTAAAAAACACTTTGGAATGCACATATTTAAAGATGTAAAAATACTAAGCTTATCTGCTACAAAAGAAAACACAGAGAAAAAGAATAATTTATGGGGCCAGAAGATAGCATAATGGTTATGTCACTGGACTCCTATGTAGTCAACCGCTGTTCAAGTCCTAGACTCGGCAGCCTAAAACTCATGCTGAGCACTTGTGCGTGTGTGCCCATGAGCTCAAGAGGAGAATGGAGGAGAAGGGATTGTGATGTGGCCGGCCCCGCAGGTGGTGATTTCTCACTTTCTGTCTCTCTCTCTGGGAAGTGCACACGCCCTATAGCAAAAATCTTTCTTTAAAAAAAGAAAAGAGGGGTCAGCAAGTGGCATGGTGGTTAATGGTGCTGGACTCCCACGTGGCCGACCATGACTCAAGTCTCGGACCTGGTGGCTTGCTTTCTCACTTCCTCTCTTTCTCTCTGTCTCTCTGATCAAACTGGAAAATAATGATAATAATAATAAATAAAGTTAAATAAAATAATTCTAAAATAAATACATACAATTAAAAAAAAGAAAAGAAAGAAAGAAATGAAAAGATTAACAATTTATATTGGGAAAGATTTTTGAAGTTCAAATGGTATAGCACTGTTTGTTGTTGTTGTTGTTGTTGTTTTCTTTAAGAGGTTTTTTGCTATAGGGCTCATGCACTTGCCAGAAAGACAGAGAGGGATGGAAAGTGAGAAATCAACCCCCAGGGCAGATGGCCACTCTGCAATCCCTTCTCTTCCATTCTCCTCTCAGAATATTGGGCATGCACATACACCCGGCATGAGTTTAAGCCACCGAGTCGATTACATGGGAGTCTAGCCACACAGCTGTTACGCCAACTGCTGGTCCCGGTATAATACTGTTTTTTAGATAGAGTATTAAATAAGCACATGTAAATTTTGGAGATAAACACTCAGACACACCTTCCTACAGATAATCCATCTGGCAGGAAATATGACTAGTAAATGTGTAAAACATTTAACTAACCATAATCGTAACAAATATGTAGACTAAAGTAATATCAAAACTTTTTCTTCATGAAATCATAG